GCACTGGATAGCTGGCCAATCAGAGCACACCTCGCTTTTCAGACCGATGAGCTTTGCAAAAATCGACGCGTTTCAGAAAGGTGGGGCATAGAGGAGAAACAATAATGTACAGTATGTGGAAAATAATGTGTTTTTTGAACCTTAAACCACAAACACATTTCATTACACCAAATACACAACATAATGTTTTTTGTAGCAATGTCATATGACCCCTTTAATAAATTATTACTACATAAAAAATAAACTTTAAGTGGCTTTAAATGGCTTTGCGTATTTCTTTGTGTGTGTGTGCATATATATTGAATTTTTAGTCATAAATACCAATTATTTGAACATGTAATCAGTCATTTCTTTAAAATAAACACTTTCTTGAAGGGAAAACAAAGGAATTCGTTGACATTTTTAAACATGCTTTTTAAGACACATGAGATTTTGGTAACAGAACTGAGAAAAATGCATCTACAAAAAAAAACAAAAAAAAAAACGTACAATTATGTGAGACTGACAAATACATATTTTGAATAGTTAAATATTTGTGACCTGGGATAGATTAAAAATAAATAAATAAATAAAAAACTACACAAACTACAGACCCAACTTCCATGAACATAATCAAGAATAACTTTATTTAACAGTTATTTTACAAACATAAATATTTTCGCTCTACATTCAATTTCTGCATTTTAGAGGACATCGTTTTTATTTCCTTTTTTTGTCCAGTAAACATGGATTTGCATTGATTTGCACATCTCGGCATCAACTAAAACTTCGCAGATGTGTCATCGCATCTAGATATGTTTTGCAGTACAAATATTTGGATATTTTATTAGCGTGTATGTTTATGATACTCGGGTGACCCCAGCAACAGTACATTTTGATATACATGTAGCGAACGTGGTGCATTTACACTCACTAACTACCAGCTGAACAGTAAGGCAATAGATTACAGGCAGTCTCAAAGGGCGGCATTCCTTGATTGTGCTGAACGCCACAAACACATACAAATCTAAAGCCTTTAGTCTCAGGACAACCACACAAATGGGTCGAGCTCACAAGTCCAGAGGAGTCCAAAGATTTCTCCTGTGAGAAACAGTGAAAAAAGGTGCAAAATGCAAAACAAACAAAACACAAACTGCATCCATTATGAGACACGCAATACAGCTTTTAAAGCCATGTAAAGACTCTACAGTGCAATTTGTGCATTTTCAGACAAGAGACACATACATGCATTACAAAGACTGAATTGATTCAAAGGGAATTGGGCCACAGCTGAGTTCCATTCAACCACCATTGGGACACAGAAGGGTATTTGCTGTTTTTCACTGATCCAAGTAATTTTTCTTCCGATAAAGAGGCTTGAGAAAGGCAAACTGATCCTAGGCCTGCACAAATTCTCAATACAACTTATAAACATGCAGATATCTATTCCAGATCTCAATGGAGAAGAGTCTCAGGAGTCTCATCTGCAGAGGAGTATCTAAGACCTTTGATTTCTCCCTGAGAATCAAATCATTAGAAAAATATTTCTGTCTGACATTTATGCCATCTCCCTACGCTTCCCCCAAGTAGTCTAAAAGCAGCGTTATTTTATTTATAAATAAGGCAACTATATTAACACTATGGTCTTGTAGAGTTACAAAGGGCAACAACCCATTGAACTGGTGGGTTTTAGGACTTCACATGGAAATAGCTGTAAGTGCAACTTATTTTTTCCTTGTCGGTCAAAATGCACATCAGGGTGCCAATCCTGCAATGTCATTTGCAAATAAACAAGATACTTGCCTACTGCTGCAGAGTAGAGTCAACTACATTTTTTTTCAAAAGAGATCCTAACCTATACTGTACCTCTTTAGTGTTTCCTTTTCAAAACCTGAACCTTTTTGACCCCAACCTGATACAAACAAACATAAATGCTGAAAAATAATATTTACTTAAATCACAACCACTACAATCACTGAATACTATCATTCCACTGTAAATCCTCCTACAAATTAAAGTCTGCTTTAATTTTATTAAAATAAAGTGCTTAGATATGTTCCTCGACTACAGAGTTTAAATAAGAGTTATGTTTGAAATCCTTGCAAACTAATACTGGTGAGAAACTGTATTTACACTGCAGTCATGCAGATCATTTATGAGTGAATGAACAAGTATTGTTTGAATGTAAAAACAAATCAATTTGTAGCATTGCTTTCTCCAACTTAAAGGGTTAGTTCAACCAAAAATGAAAATTAGCCTGTGTTTTACTCACCCTCGAAGCATCCTAGGTGTATATGACTTTCTTCTTTCAGACGAATCCAGTCGGAGTTATATTAAAAATTGTCCTGGCTATTCCAAGATCTATCATTGCAGTCAGCGGGTGTTGCAGTTGAACAGTCCACAAGTCGTCAAATAAAGCGCACGCATTCATAATAAAACGTGCTTCACACGGCTCCAGGGGGTGAATAAAGGCCTTCTGTAGTGAATCCATGCGTTTTTGTAAGAAAAATATCCATATTTCAAACGTAATAAACACTTTTATATCACTTCCGTTATCTTTCATACGCGGAAGGCGTATGACGTATGCGCAGCGCGTGCTCCTCTGAGATATGCTAATCTCGCGAGTTTGTTTATAGGAGCAAAGGAAGCAGTTTCCTTACTTTAGCAAAGGAAAACCAGTCTCCTCTTGGCTTATATCGAAATCCTCCGACATTTCTCTTTGCAAATCCTCGGTTTGTGCTTCTAATTCGTGACCGGCATTTTTATTTTGTTGTCTCTCCGCATTCGTCACTAATCACGCAACGCCGACGTACTACGTCATCCGCCGGCACGGCTTCCAAGTATGACAGTAGGCGGAAGTGATATAAAAGTGTTTATTATGTTTGAAATATGGATATTTGTCTTACAAAAACGCATGGATTCACTACAGAAGGCCTTTATTCACCCCCTGGAGCCGTGTGAAGCATGTTTTATTATGAATGCATGCACTTTATTTGACGACTTGTGGATTGTTCAACTGCAACACCCGCTGACTGAAATGATAGATCTTGGAATAGCCAGGACAATTTTTAATATAACTCCGACTGGATTCGTCTGAAAGAAGAAAGTCATATACACCTAGGATGTTTCGAAGGTGAGTAAAACACAAGCCAATTTTCATTTTTGCGTTAATTAACCCTTTAAGAGCGGACAGTGTCTGTCTAGACACAGATTCTACCCACTACATTTAAGCTGGAGCTGAATTCTCAAAACCCAGGTCATTTTACACTTGATCCACATGTGGATTTCTTCTCAAACTGACCCAAAGTGTTAAAACACTTTTTTTTTTTTTTTTTTACATAACGCTGGATTAGCTGCCAGTCACCATGGGGAGTGTGTGCACATATATAGTGTTCTCAATTTTTAATAGCAACCTTCAATCAAAAATAAATAAATAAACAACATTAAAAAAATAATAATAATTTAACAATGAAAAGCCCTCAACAATATTACTGGGACCATTTGATGAGCAAGACATATATTTCAAATATTTCCCTTATTATACTATCCTTTTCAAGATGTGAAAACTGGCATGTCAATTAATGTAATAGTACAAGGGAGTAAAGTAAATTAGTAAAAAAGTAGTAAATTATGTGAGCAAAATGCAAGTATATGGGTGATCTTATAACAAGTTTTGGCTGATGATGAGAGTCTGGCTCTGTCAGCTCTTTATTACTGAATACTGCCATCCAGTGGAACGAGGATTCAGTGATCTGAAGGGACTACACCAGGATTATTAGCATGGTATCTACCAAAGATTTTAGCGCATTAAATTCCAGTCGTGCACTTTAAATGATAATTAATGGATGCTGTGTCCTTTCCATAAAGCAGTTTATTAAAATATCTTTCATATTCTTGGTCCCTACTATAATATAGCAAACACAACCCCGTGACCTCAGGAGTGGAATAAGGGAGTGTCTGGATCCAATACAGATGCCATTTTGAGATGCTCACATTTTACTTACAGCTAGGATTGTATTTTATGCAGAGGTATCGATCTGAAAGTTTTTCTATGCATGTCCCTGGTCTCTTCCATTCACTGAATAAAGCCAAACCACTTTGACGCAAAGATTTCCTCTTCACCTCATGCAAGCTCTTTCTTGGCCAACAGTTGCTACAGTTCTCTTCGAGTGCAAACTGGCCCTCTTGGACGATCTCATTCAGTAGTTCAAGATAAAAGTTGAGAGGAAAAACAAAAGTCATTTAGGATTTTAACAGTCTTCAGATTCCCCTTACCGGGACTGAACGCCAAGGGTGATCTTTAGGTTCTCATACACCACGTAGCTGATGCTAACAGCAGGAATGACCTTCATAAAGTTGGGTGCCAAGCCTCTATAGAGTCCAATAGCGCCCTCTGTCCTCACAATGTGTCTGAAGAGACCAGTCATGGTCATCTGAGGGCTGCCTTCCTGAGAAGCTGCTAACCAATGGAGAGCAAGAACAAAATGCAAAAAATCAATTGGACTCTGATAGATAAACAATAATAGTTTTCTTAGTGAAGCCTTCTAATTATGTATTTGAGACTTTAAAGACTTACCTTGAGCCTGCATTCGTGTCCTCACTAAGGCTAATGGGTAGCTTGCTAACTGTCCACAAGTACTAGACATTGTACCACAGGCTAGCAGCACAAACACACCCGGATCAGCACTGTCTGTAGCAAACCTCTGAAGCCACCAGTTTTTTAATGTCTACACATGAAAATAAGAGAGACATGGGAGTTACATTATAGTCACTATAATATAATATAAACTAATAAAGCAATAAGCCCCAAGAAGCCGTGGTTTACAGTGAATTTATAACAGGGCGTTGTTATTAGCCCCCTTATTAAAACCCCCTTAGCTGTTATAAATTCACTGTAAACCACAGCTTCACGGAGCTTATTGCTTTTATAAAACGGTTATTCCATATATGTAGTTAGGTTTCACAAAATAAAACCGATCAAATAAAGTGTAATGATATTAATAAAAACAGTATTCTTCCACCAAACAATGTAGTTCCTCAGAATCAGTTGTGGTTGCAACAAAGTGGTTGCCAAGCAAAAGACAAACGTAAACAAAGGTGTATGTTTGTAGAGTAATTTTACAACAGCTTCGAACGTGGCTCAGCCAATCAGAATCAAGGACCGGAACAATCCGTAATATAATATAATATAATATAATATAATTAGGGCTGGGTATCGATTCAGATGTTCCAATTCGATTCGATTTTCAAGCTCTCAATTCGATTCAATTTCGATTCGATTTTTTATTTCAATTCTCGATTCGATTTGACTATATGAATGAATATAGATTTAATACAAATCTTATATTTATAAAAAATGAACAGTGAACATAAGATTACAAATGGTTAATTAATAGGAAATTAAGAGCCACAAACCTGTATATTAAACACTTTTTATTTTAGGTACACTTGGGTACAAAAAAAACAAAACCCAACTCTATATTTCAAATGCATACAATGAATAGACAGAATTTTGAAGCAAGATGAAAAACTGATGCTGAAAATTGGACAAGTCAGAACAGTCGCATGCCTTGATCAAACAGGATCAGGTTATCAACAGACTTTCATAATAATAAAAAACTGCATTAACGCGCGATAAAATATTTGTCGGCGTTAATCAATTAATGCGTTAACGCGACAATAACGAGTTAACTTGCCCAGCCCTAAATATAATATAATATAATATAATATAATATATGAATTAATCATAAAATACATAAAACATTCAGGAGGTAGAAAACTGAAACAAAAATTAAATAAATAAAAAAGCATGTAGCACAGTGTTATTTTTGTATTATTTATAGACCATTATAGTATTTACTGATATTTTGAATGAGCTTTTTTAGATTTTCAGTTTTAATTTGAGTAATTTTGTTGTGCTTTTGTCGATTATTATTAGTTTTTGTTTTTATTTCTATTCTGCTTTAATTTATTTTTATTTCAGTTTTTGTTTAATTAATTATAGTAATAACTAAATTAATTTTTAGCTTAACTGAAAATTATTTTATTTCGGTTGGTTGCCACTGATGTAGCCTGACAAATATATAGTCCTATTGTTTTACTGTGTAAAAACTTACCTCATAAACAGCCAGGTCTATTCCAGCATAAGGGATGATTCCCAACACGTTGGGAATATAACCTTTATAGAAGGCTGTCAGTCCCTCCTTCTTAAATATATGTTTAGCGCAGTCCATGATACCAGAGTACTGACCCGTCCTTCCCAGGGCAAGACGAGTTTTTAAAACCTTAAACACACAAAAAGCCTTGTTTAAGCTCCAAGAGATCTTTGTTTGGTGTAGAAAGCCATCATTAGCTTGATTAAGTTTCAGTTTATGAGATGGCAGTTAGTAATTAAAAACTATGGAAACATAATTTTTTTAAATTGTACATTACAGAACATGATACAAAGAATGCATGGGAGGTCTAGTCATGGCTTATGATTAATAATTATTGTTGAAATGACAGAAACAGAAAGCTTTTGTTTTCTCAAAGCAGTGCTCAAACGTTATTCTTAAATGATGGTTTACGTTCTTACCTCCATGGGGTAGATGCTGCTCTGAGCAATAGCTCCTGCTAGAGACCCAGCAACCAGCCTCTCCAGGATCCCCAGCGTCTCCTGATTACTGCCAATCAGCCGCTTAATCTGAAGGACAGGGCAAATGAGCTTTAGAGGTCACAGATAAAATAGCAAAGAGAAAAAAAATGTTCATTGAAAAAAAGATTTGATCACATAAAAAAGATCATCAAAGCAGCAAAAAAAAGTAACTGTTTATTTAACAGTTATTTAAACATTGTGGGTAAATATATTAACATTGTATCATTTTAAATATCCAGGATTTTATAAGTTATCCAATTTTGTAAGGTCTGTCCAATAATTGCCAAAATATTACAACAACAAGCTACCTGCTCATACGCCATGAACTTGATAGCAGACTCAGGTGCAATCTTTAAAACATTGATACCGTTCCCTCGCCACAGCGACCGAAGTCCACCCTCACGGATCATTTGTGCGAATCCTCCGGCGATACCCATGGTGTTGCTGCGTGATGCATGAACCTGCCAACACCATTCCTCAGTTTACTTGCAAATTGTTTCATTTAAGCATTGTAACACAAGTTTACTTCAGGTAAGGTAAGCTTTAAGGTTAGCTAAACTTCAATGTCCTTTATAGTCTTATGAATTCATACACTAAAGATGTAGAACTTTAAAATCCACCAAACCAAACTGAAACTAGCCTCACTAAGGCATTTTGTAATGTGCATGGTCATCCACCGAGGCACTCAACCAAAGAACAGAACATCATGTCCTATAGTGACTCTACAGTACACCTACTACAGTAGCACTGTGTCCTTCATAAACAGCACACTTGTGACATGGGATCTCACTAACACTTCAGTTCATGTACAGAGTACCACGCCAACTATGGTTTCAACCTATAGGATGTTAGCTCACCAGCCTAGATGACCTATGGATCATGGTTCTCATTAAACCAATGCTATGCACATTATATACAATAAAGGGACAGTAAAGACATTTATAATGTTACAAAAAATATTCGATTTAAAATAAATGCTATTCTTTTGAACTTTCTATTCAGCATAGAATCCCAAAAAAATGTTGATAATAATAAGAAATGTTTCTTGAGCACCAAATCACCATATTAAAATTATTTCGGAAGGATCATGTGACAGTAATGGCTGTGGAAAATTCAACGTTGCCATCATGGGAATAAATCACATTTTAAAATATATTAAACTAGAAGAAAGTTATTTTAAATTGTGTCAGTGGGTCTCATACCTGCATGAGAACCTTAAGGCGGTCCAGGGGTGCGGTGCAGGTACGGGACACAACACCTGCTCCACCTCCTGCTACCAGGTGTCGCCACCACATCCCTGTTTTCTTTTCCTCTGCCGTAAACTCATCAGGGACCATCAAACTTTCCCCTACATCAAATATCTGTACAGAGGAAATGACATCATGTGGATTGAGATTACATGCACAAGAGAACATAATGAATGGACAATCAACCCGTCAGACGATCCATCATTAGTACTAGAAAAATTCTTGCGTTTCTGAGCTGCTGTAAACTGACAGAATCTCAAGAGATTACATAAAAAATGCATATGAAAAGAGGCATCTGTCTTGCACTTTTTTTGTGGATATTTATAAATTTAGCTCAGTCCTTTTTATATCATCCAGTTTTAATATGACACTCAATTGATCTTCATTGGTTCTGGGTGGCTATATTTAATTTTCTTTTATCATCAAAATATTAATTATGATAATAACATAACAAAAGAAATCCAGAAATATCAGGCTTTCATTTTTCAAATCAAATTACCCTTCTGTAATATACGTGTAAACAATTATCGAGTTATCTGTTCACCTCGGTGCAATGTTAATCCACGCATCTACCTCTCCCGGGTCAGTGACGTCAGAACACTGTTGATCTGTTTAACAGGATCAGACTGGATCACAGTGACCCCATTTGTCCCATTCAGGAGTATTTAAAGTGTGAGGAAACAAATTTAACTTAGTAGGGCTTAGTAGGACTGAATGACTAAGGTGGCAGCCCATCACCGGTGTGTGGTGAATGTCAGTGATGCAAGTATAGGCAATTTACACAGAATAAAGAGACAATAAAAAGCACCATAACCTCCTAAAAGGAGCAATGAGAGACAGCTGGTGCTAAAACAAAGCTGGAAACTTTGAACTGTAATGCACATGGCCTGGTTTGCTTTTACCGTTGAATGTTTCCAGTAGAGGATGATTTCAGGAATGTTGTCAGCAGGATGAAGCAGGTGGTAATCTCTCCATTCATTCCAGTCAATCGTCATCGTACCGTTTTTATCCATACTGTTAAAATAAAAAGACAAAAAGAGACCAAAACGAAATAATATGTCAGGAACCTCTTTGGCTCTGGGTAGCAGCCTCTTCTTTGAAAAAAGACCAGCTTAGTTTATTTTTTAAATGTAAGCACCTAGATAAGAAACTGCTTAGACTTGCTAAACTTAATGCGAAAATTAATGATGTATGGTCAAGCAGCTAGAAAGTAATAATTATTCACATGCAAAAATGTCCCTGGTTTCAGCGTTTCAGATCTATTCTGACCTTCACATTTAGAATTCTTCTTTATTAATTTTAAGAAAGCTTTCTTCTGTTAAGAGTTTTGTAGTATTTGTCAAAAAATCTTAAAATATATGCATCATTAGCAAGCTTATGGGGGAAGTTGTGGCCTAATGGTTAGAGATATAAAAAGGACTGCGAGTTCGAGTCTCAGGTCCGGCAGGTATTGTAGGTGGGGGGAGTGAATGTACAGCGCTCTCTTCCACCTTCAATACCATGACTGAGGTGCCCTTGAGCAAGGCACCGAACCCTCAACTGCTACCCGGGCGCCGCAGCATAAATGGCTGCCCACTGCTCCGGGTGTGTGTTCACTGCTGTGTGTGTGCACTTAGGATGGGTTCAATGCAGAGCACTAATTCCTAGTATGGGTAACCATACTTGGCCACATCACGTCACGTTCACTTTCACTTTCATATTTCCAAAGCATCACCCACATGAGTCAAAATAGCTTCTGAGAGAGAGAGAAAAAAATTACCTCAAAAATGCAAAATGAAAACAGCGCAGATGAAATGAAAATACAGAGCAAGGCAAACATGCAGGGAGAAGACCACTACTTACTACATTATAGGGGCACATATATGACCCCTCCTTATTCTGATAAGATGAGCAGAGAGAGAGAGTGGGGGTGGGATCACAAGAAGGAGACAGTGATAAAGAAACAGAGACAGAAAGCGCACGACCAAACACACATACAAACAGACAGAAAATAAAAAAGAACTTTATTATTGTATGTGCTGTGATTAATTTGTACATGGGATTCTGGTTTCTTTTAGGAGCTCGAAAATCTCTTTGATATTGACTGGTCAAAGAAACACGCTGAAAAATAAGAACCAGGAGACGTGTTGTATAACACATGCTGTTTTGAGGTGAGGGTTCCCAGTCAGATCAACACTATACAGATCAGTCAGGTCTGAATTATTAGCTGAAAAAAAAAGACTAAAGAGAATGAAGGGGGTTAAAACAAATAAAACAATAAAACAAATTACCTCTTGAGGATCTTTTCAGCCTGTTCCTCAGATATATGAACCCCAAGGTCTCTTAGTGACTGCATGATCTCCTGTGAATCTATGCGACCTGCAGATTTAAAAGGAAACATGATTTTAACATCTAAACCAGCGCTTCTCAACCAGGGAGCCTCAGCAAACTTCCAAGGTGGCCTTGATATGACTCTAAGTGATTCAAAATAAGACATAATCAGCATTAAATTAAGGTAAAATAAGTATTAAAACAAGGCAAAACAACAACAAAAATCAAGATATTTATTATTTTAATTCATCCCTCAACAAGGATTCCTACAGTCTTGAAAAACTTGGATATATCTGATAGCCTAATTTAAAAAAATGTGATTTCTAAAAATGGAAAAAACATGTAAATTAAAGGGGTCATATGATGCGATTTCAATTTTTCCTTTCTCTTTGGAGTGTTACAAGCTCTTAGTGCATAAAGAAGATCTGTAAAGTCTCAAATCCAAAGAGATATTCTTTATAAAAGTTAAGAGTCAACCACGCCTACCTAAAACGCCTCGTTCCAACACGCCCCCACATACCTACATCACGATGTGGGCAGATTTGCATAACGCCGCCCAAATGTTCACACAAAGAAAGAAGGCGTAACTTTTATTCTCGCTGTAGTATTGTTGCTGCCGCCATGTAGTGAAGGTGCTGTGTGTTTTGTTGTGAAAGTAAAACTACTTTGTTTGGCCTTACAAAAGAGGACGATATCCGCTTCGTCATGCCTAGAGCTGATCCGTGCTGGTCGCTGAGGAAATACATCAACTTCGCGCTGTGGATCGCCTGATCGGCTTTCACCATGGACGAAGTGGAGTCCAGCCCGGGGTCGTCACATGTGGTTGCCGCAAGCCCGCCGGACGCTCCTTCGTCGAATCCGCCGGCCGCACCGTTCTCAAGCCCACCGCCTGTTCCTCACTCAAGCCCTCCGGCCGTTCCTTAAGCCTGCCGTGTGTGACGCTGTGTTTCATTGTGAAAGCGAAACTACTTTGTTTGGCCTTCCAAAAGAGGACACTATTCAATTCAATTCAATTCAAGTTTATTTGTATAGCGCTTTTCACGATACAAATCATTGCAAAGCAACTTTA